CTCTTAAAAAATGAAAATACATACGCTCAATATAAGTCTTTCATTAGTGAATATCTTTTTCTCGAACATGCTAGAATAGTCCCTCTCTCTCTTACTAATGGAAACTTAGAAAATAAATATTTTCTCCCGCATCACTGTGTATTAAAGGAAGAATCCTTAACAACCAAACTTAGGGTTGTTTTCGATGGTTCGATGAAAAGTTCTAGTGGTTATTCGCTAAATGATATCCTCCTCAAAGGTCCTACTCTTCAACCGGAACTTTTTGACATTTTGCTACGCTTTCGATTATATTCCTTTGTTTTCACAACGGATATACAAAAGATGTACAGACAGGTTAAAATCAATCCTGATCAAACCTTTCTGTTAAACATACTTTGGCGTGACTCCCCGGAAAAAGATATTGAGTGCCTGGAACTGCAAACAGTTACATATGGAACTAAAAGCGCCAGTTTTCAGAGTACTCGCTGTTTAATGGAACTGGCAAATACTCATCAAACTGAGTATCCCCTGGCCAGTGATGCTCTTAAAAATAGTTGCTATATTGATGACATTCTCTATGGTGCTAATGATGAGCAAACTCTTCTCAAAGCTCATAAGGAAATAACTAGTTTGCTTGGAACAGCATGTATTTCTCTACATAAATGGTGTTCTAACTCGGACTTGTTTCTAAAAAATATTTCTTCTCTCTCTTCGAACTCTTCTTATGTCATAGCTCCAGATAATTGCTCTAATAAGGTTTTAGGTTTATGCTGGAATCCTGTTCTTGACACGTTTTCAATCTCTCTTCCAGATTTCACCCTAAAGAACTCATACACTAAAAGAGAAGTACTGTCAATGATTGCCCAAATATTTGATCCTCAAGGTCTTATTAATCCCGTTACAGTTGTCGCTAAACTTATAATGCAAAAAATCTGGATATCCAAAATCAGTTGGAACGATACCATTGACGCAGATACGTTACATGAATGGCTAAGTTTTATTAGCAGTCTCTCTCATTTTAAGGACTTAAGTATACAAAGATGTCTCTTTTTGAGTCAAGAAATCACTGGTGTTGAGGTTCACTCATTCTCGGATGCAAGTTTAAAGGCTTATGGAGCTTGTATCTACTTACGTGTGACCTATAAATCAGAACAGGTGTCTTGTTCCCTTCTAGCATCTAAGAGTCGCGTTGCTCCGCTAAAACCCTTGACCCTTCCAAGATTGGAACTCATGGGTGCGCTATTGTGTAGTAAACTCACAGCAAGGATTGCTAACATCGTTAAAGAAAAATTATCTCGATTAGACTCTATAAATATGTGGTCGGATTCAGAAATTGTTCTCGCTTGGCTTCGTTCACATCCTTCTCGTTGGACCCAATTTGTAGCAAATAGGGTCGCACAAATTTTAGATAATTCCCTGATGCTCACTGGAGGCACGTACGATCCAAAGAGAATCCTGCGACATACTCTCCGAGGAATGTTACCCTCTGAAATATTAAACTCTTCCTTGTGGTTTCATGGTCCTCCATTTTTAAATCAACTGCGTTTGGATTTATTAAAATACAACCCAAAGGGTTATACCTCCAAGTTGCCTGAAGAAAGGAAAGTCATTCTTCATGCTCGAAATGATACAATAGATTTTTTCACCTCCCTTTCTGATAGGTTCTCTAATTTTTCAAAGTTTGTAAGAACTTTAGCCTATATGTTTAGATTTGTTAATAATGCTAAACCGCTTTCTCGCAAGTTAACGGATACCCTTGAAGTCACCGAACTTCAAAACGCTGAACTTAAGATTATTAAGATGCTCCAGTATTCCAACTTCTCGAGTGAGATTTCTGAGCTTAAGAAAGGTAAAACTCTAACTAATAAGTGTCTGTTACCCCTAAATCCCTTTTTGGATGAGAATGAAATGCTCCGGGTAGGAGGTCGCCTTAGAAACTCAGACGTTACCTTTGATCAAAGATACCCCTTCTCCTTCCCTCAAAAAATCGTATAGTTCGTCTCATTCTTCACAGAGAACATGTCAGACTTTGTCACTCAGGGCCTCAAAATACTCTGTCCCAAATTCGTCTCAAATATTGGCCTTTAAATGGACTACGAGAAGTCAAAAAGGTCATTCACCAATGTATGGTTTGTTTTAAGTTTCGTGCCAAACCCGCTACCCAGATTATGGCAGATTTGCCAAAGGAACGTTTAAATTCCTCTCGAGCATTCACTCATGTTGGATTAGATTTTGGCGGTCCCTTTCAGATAAAGGCTTCCAAACTTCGCAAGGCTCCTTTAATAAAATCGTATATTGCTCTTTTCGTTTGCTTGTCGACTCGAGCTGTTCATATTGAAGTCGTCTCTGGCCTCTCTACAGAGACGTTTATTCTCGCTCTAAAACGCTTTATTAGTCGTAGAGGCCTCCCTCAGACAATATTCAGTGACAACGCTACGAACTTTCTTGGTGCTCGTAACCAGCTGTTTGAACTCTATAAGTTTTTAAAGGAAAAGGAAAGCTCCCGTTCTATTCAAGAATTTTTGGCCTCGTCCCATATTCGCTGGAAAACTATAGTTCCTCGAGCCCCTCATCATGGTGGTATTTGGGAAAGTGCTATTAAAAGCGCAAAGCATCATATGCGTAGACTCTGGGTAATCTTAAGCTTACTTTCGAAGAATTCACCACAGTCCTCGTTCAAATTGAAGCTGTGCTCAATTCCCGGCCTCTTTGCTCCCTTTCAAGTGACCCCTCTGATTTTACTTATCTTACTCCTGGACACTTCTTGATTGGACAATCTCTCACCTCATTCCCTGAAAAAGAAGTGATCCACATTCCCGAAAACAGACTAAATTTATGGCAGCATTTGTCCAAACTCCAACAAGTGTTTTGGAAAAAATGGTCTATCGACTATTTGAACAGACTTCAAAATCGCCCTAAATGGTTTCTCCCGCATAAGAACCTAGAACCCAACGATCTTGTCTTGTTGATTAAAGACACTCCTTCTCTTTATTGGGTACTAGCAAGAGTGATTGAGGTCTTTCCAGAAAATGATGGGAGGGTAAGAATTGCCTCAGTCAAAACTAAAGATGGAGTCTTCAAACGCTCTATTAAAAAACTGTGTCTTCTACCCAACGACGATTTAAATTAAGTTAGTATAAGATAATAATTGTAGTGTATTTTTTCTTCCTCGTGCTTTCTTGTCGTAATATTATCTGCTTATTTATGTTAAAGCCAGCGCTTCAATGGGGGCGAGTAAGTGAGTTGTAAAAACAACATTTTATATTAATTTTAGGTTAATTTTTTGTTCTCACAAATATTGGCTTGGATCTTATGCTTTTCTCTTATGGACTTTTTAGCTTCAGAAATGCAGTCTCTGCTCTGCTCTCTTCGCCTCCAAAATGCAGTGAAATGTGCATTTGTTTTCTCGATAGTTCGCGCGCCCCTAAAACTCCGGTATAGCAATGGACAATGTGTTAAAGCGAACTCTTTCGTTAGTATTAGTGCTTTTGTAAATATTCTCTCGTTATTAAATGTGTAGATTCGATTAATTACACTTTTTTTTTCTCTAAGTACAACCCCTATTAAACCAAACACATAAGGAACCATCGCCGTGAAGTCTGCTTGTATATATCGAAGGAAACTCTTTTACAGTCCATGGTCCTAAAATATTTGGTACTGTACACGCACGGGGAAAGGAATTTAATAAGCTTTCCCCCCAACAATTGGTGGAAATCAGACAAAATTCCATCACTAGGCATGTAGTTTTAAAAACCGGTAATAATTTCATGAGTTAAGAGGTTAACCACCAGTTAATCAATCACCGATTTGTTGTGCTGTAGAGCATGCGAGGAACTTGATAAACAGCGTTTCCAACGTCTTAAGTAGTCCACATGGTTTTAAGTGAGAATTAAGCAGCTAGGTTTTTGATAGAAGAATAGATTTGCTTTTATGACAAACTAAAAAATTATAAATAAATACGATTATAAATTTTATGACTTAGCTAATTATCATATTAATCTTCTTTTAAATAAAGTTAACTTTAATACTTAATTAATATTTCAAAAAGGTTTGATATTTCATTTCGACATGACAGTCAGTATTATCCTTTTCTGTCATTTGGTACATAAATAAAAATTTTTAAATTCTGTTTTGTTTAAAGGTTAAACTTAATGCAAGTAATGTTAATCAAAATTAGGATATTTTGATTTATATTAATTAAATTGGTACAAATAGCGCCAATGTAAGGATTGTTGACAAACTTAGATAATTTTATTTGTAATAACTGTTTATGTAAAATGATAAATACGTAATGTTTCTCATTAAACTAGGAGTTTAAAATTATATACTTTAAAAAGATTTTTATCCTTAAAAAGTTTTTTAGGAATGAAAAGCCTTTCTTTCTATCGAGCAAGAGGATTATTTTAAACGGCGTTCAATTTAAATAGTTTAGGAGTTTTCTTGTGTTCGTTGCCTAGGAAATCTCTGTATTTTTTGTATTTATTTTTTGGTGTAGTTAGTTTCCCAGTTTCTCAAAAAAAAAGAAACCTTACTCATGACCCAGCTCACCAACCAAAATAAAAGTAGCTGTTCGCAAACATTTTAGTTTATTTGCTTCTATCTCTAGCCCAGTAATTGTTCAATTTTTCCTTTCAACCCTCTATAATTACAATTGACAATGTGGTAGGCAAATTAAATTGCTTCAATATATATATATATATATATATATATAATATATATATATATATATATATATATATTTATAAAGGCAGAAAGTATCGGCATACTAAAATGAGAAAACAAAATTAAAAAATATGTATCTAAGATGGAAGGCATCCAAAAATTAAGTTAGGATAAGTAAATGTTAACTCGGAAGACAACACTGCACGAGCAATATAAATATTTTATTATTCCATCTTCATCTTATATGCCTTTTTTTATTGTTGCGATCTATGCCAATACCTATATTTGTATTGAACTATTTAGAAAGAAAAACTTACAAACGATAAATACTTAACTTACTTAACAAAAAGTTCACTTACCTCTCTGACGAACTAATGTCGGCTGAGTAAGACATCTTGTTGGAGATTGTTTTTTCTATGAAAAATAAACCAATTTAATTATATTGTGTAAAACCAGGAAAGTACAGAATAAACAAATGCTCTATAAACATAGTGGTAATAGTATTAAAAAGTCGTTCTCAAACTATTATTGAAATATATATCGTGTTTTTCGTTTTCAATAAAAGAAGAAAACAAAAAAAAACTAGATAAATATTATGGTAATAATTGCCTCTCAGAATACATGGTAAAATTTTGGTTCCATGAATTTCTTAGTAGCCGTGTATCTAAATTGGACGAACCAAGTACTGGACAGCCTTCCGATGCAGTTACGCAGGAAAATATGAAGAAGGTCCATGAAACCGTTTTACCTGATCGTAACAAAAAGTTTCATCAATTGGCAGAGGCTACAAGAATGACCAAAGAGCGCACTGGTGATATTTTAAACGACCAAAGTTTTGAATATGTAAAAATGATCCTGCCGATGAATGCCTCGTTTACTGACCATTGACCAAAAACATGATCATGGATTACTTCTTAGCAGCGCTTGTAATGTATAATACCTCGGACCTTTGGCGTCGATTAATAACTTTTGATAAAACTTGGATCTACAATTATATACCAGAAAACATAATGAACGCACGGTAGTGGACTGATTTTTTTTACTAAAGATACCGAAGTGTACTTCACTGACTCACTATACCAGTTCAAAAGAGAAACTTTGTCCTTTTGAGCCTTCTCTCTAGGTTCGTATTGTCGAGGAGCTGGATAGCCTCGACGTTTACATGATGATGGAGTCGTTGTTCATGGCTCCCTGCAAATTTCTTGATTATCTGATTGACGTCTTCCATCTTGAGGTCCCGGTGAAGATCGTTGTTCCTAACGTACCAAGGCGCATCTACGATGTTCCTCAGCACTTTATTCTGGAATACCTGGATTACTTTGATGTTACTAGGCTTGGCACAGCCCCAGAGTTGGCAGCCATAGGTCCATACTGGCCTCAGTATTTGTTTATAGATTAGGAGTTTATTATTTATGGATAGAGAGGAATGCCTTCCCATCAACCAATACATTTTCTTGTAGCGGATGCCTAGTTCTTCTCTTTTCTTCTTCACGTGAGCTTTCCAGCGAAGCTTCGCATCAAGAGTGATCCCCAAGTACTTTGCTGATGTTGCAATAGGCACTTGGACATCATTTATTCTAATTGAAATATTATTAATTCTCTTATTGGTAAAATTTATATGGACTGATTTATTCTCATTCAGCTTAATTTTCCATTTTTTGGTCCATTCATGGATTTTATTTATTGAATTTTGTAGTTTTTTCGTAGCTTCTTCGACGGTGTCACCTACTGCTAAGACAGCAGTGTCATCTGCGAAGGTAGCTATGGTGTCGTCTTCTAGTTCAGGTATATCACACGTGTATATTAGGTATAGGACTGGACCCAATACACTCCCTTGTGGAACACCTGCTTCAATATCCTTGAGATCAGTGTATGCATCTTCTTGTTTAACTCTAAAATGTCTGTTCGCTAGATATGATTGTAATATATTTGAATATTGTTTAGGCATGAATGATTTAAGTTTATGTATCAAACCCTTATGCCAGACTTTATCAAACGCCTGTGCCACATCTAGTAAGGTTGCAGAACAGACTTTTCTTTTCTCTAATGATCTTTCAATTATAGCAGTTATTCTATGCACCTGATCAATTGTCGAATGCTTATTTCTAAATCCAAATTGATGATCTGGAATTAGTTTCTTTTCTTCAATTATTGGTAGGATTCTTCGCAGGAGGAGTTTTTCAAACACCTTGGACATCACAGGTAGGAGTGATATTGGTCTATATGATGTCACCTCATTGGGGGTTTCCCAGGCTTTGATATCATGATCACCTCAGCTATCTTCCATAAATCTGAAACATATTGTAGTCTAAAGGCAGCATTTATTAAATTTGTTAATTTTACGATAGCTTTTCTTGGTAGATTTTTTAACAGTCTTCCGGTAATGAGGTCATACCCTGGTGCTTTATTTGGTCGATTTGTTCTTTAATTAACTCAGCTACTTCTTTTGGGGAAGTTGGCTTGATCTTCTCATCTATTTGCTCTGGTTCGGGCCAATCCTGGTCATCGTCTTGGTCATCTTGCAACTTAAATGTGTTCTCTAGATGAGTGGCAAATCTCTCTGCCTTCTGCTGATTATATCTGGCCCAACTACCGTCTTCCAGTTTTATTGGAGGAGAATGTAATATTGGCCTTTTAATTCTTTTTGTAGCTTTCCAAAGCGAGTACTCTGTGCTACTGTCGTTTGTTAGCTCTTCCAGATAAGATTTAATAGATTCATTCTTAATTTTCTGGATTTCTCTTTTAAGTTGCTGGCTGGCATTGTTTAGGTTAGTTTTGTCTCGAGGAGCTCTCGTTTGCTGCCATTTTCTTCTTATTTTTCTTTTTTCTTTTATTAATTTAAAAATTTCTTTAGGGCAGTTATTCCCTTTAACTTTTGTTTTCAGTATGGGAGTGCAATACCATGCAGAATCTTGAATATCTTTGACAAATAAATCTAATTCTTGATCTATCTGTTCAATTGTCTTTGGTGGCACGGCTAAATTGATCTTTTCTTCAAGAGTTACTTTAAAACTTTCCCAGTCTGTGAGCTTATTAGTTAAGGTTGAGTTGTTCTCTTTTCTAATAGTGGACTGATGCCAACAAAAGTACTCCGAAGCGGCCAAAACTTGCTTAATAGGTCGGAAGGGTTGTATTGCAAAAAAATAATTTTAATTTGCTATCTTAAAAAAGGTAATACTATAAATAACAAATATCAATATGCATTATTAGCCAAACTGAAGCAGAAACTCAGTGAAAAACTGCCCCTTGTTCAGAAGAAAAAGTGTTATTTCTCCAAGACAGCGATTTCTCCAAGGCTCATAAGAGCATTATAACAAAGATAAAAATTCATGAGTTGGTCTTTAAATTGCTTTCTGATGCAGATTGTTGTCTTAATACGGCCCCTGCTGATTAGAATGTTTTCCCAAATCTGAAGGGATAGCTCGAAAAAAAAAATTTAACTCTATCGAAGATATAATTGGCAAAGAAACCCTTATATGACAGAACTTCCAAAATTGTAATATTAAAACAACAAGAAGTTGAAAAATCGCTGCAATTGTTGTATTAATCTAAAAGGAGAATCTATAAAATAAAATAAAAGCATTTTCCGGAAAAACATGTATTTCATTTGGAGAAGGTTACTTATTAGATCACCTAGCATTTAGGTTTTATGTTCCAGTTCCAGGTTCAGTAAGATCTGATTAGATTTAAGGTTGCTTACAAAATGTCTCTCTATATATTTGCAGCTATTGCTCTTTAATCGTGATGAAACATCAAAGTTTTTTGAAGGAGGATTTCCTGACCAAAAAACTTTCGAGAATGGTAGAATTGTAACTCAGTAGACCTTTTTAGAGCGTCTCCAAATAAAGTACGGATAGCCAAGACCGCATTTAGCTCAATTGACGCCCTAGGCAATTCTCTAGTAAGCGCTCTTCAAACATGTAGCCGCCATTTTTGCAAAAAAAATTATAAGCAGAATTTTTTATTTAAATAAGAATACACTAAAAATGGATTTAAACTACAATGTTTATATACATATCTTCTTCTTCTTCTTCTTCTTCTTCTTCTTCTTCTTCTTCTTCTTCTTCTTCTTCTTCTTCTTTTTCTTCTTCTTCTTCTTCTTCTTCTTCTTCTTCTTCTTCTTCTTCTTCTTATAGTGCCTATCAGTTTCGCATGTTGGCGACCATCATGGCAATCTGTATTTTGCAAACTGTGTCTCTGAAAAGATTTGTGGTTGTTGTGTTGAACCACGTACGTAGATTTTTCAGTCAGAAAATTCTTCGCCTTCCTGGTCCTCGTTTTCCTTCTACTTTTTCTTGAAGAATTAATTGCAGCAACCCATATCTTTCGCTGTTCCTCATGATGTGACCGAGGTATTCAATTTTGGCTGTTTTTATTGTGGTTAACAACTTTTTTCCTTTTTGCCGTCTTAATAAAACTTCCTGGTTAGTAACGTGGTCGATATAGGATATTTTCAGTATTCTACGACAAAGCCACATGTCAAAAGTTTAACTTTTCTTATAGGTAGCGTCTGTGAGAGTCCACGACTCAACTCCGTACCGCAGTATAGAAAAGATTTAACATCGTAGTAACTGGATTTTTATGGACACTGATCGTGGCATTTGAACAGCTGAGCCATTTTTTGAAATGCAGATCTTGCTTTCTCTACCCTAGATTTTATTTCTAGGAAATGGTCTCAATTTTCATTGACGTTCGTACCAAGGTAGGTGTATGTTTTACTGTTTCTATTTTTTGACCATTCACACTGATTCTTTCAATTTTCCGTTCCTTCTTAGAGATCATCATATAATTGGTTTTCTTAATGTTCAGTTCATTGTTAAGATTCATACGGAATTTATTCATTTTACTATAACAAAAATGGAAGTATAAAATAAAAACAATTAAAATAGGAAATAATTAAAATGAATTAAAAACAAAATAATTTCATGTAACGTTAATACTTTTTGCAATATAATTTTTGAACAAAAACATTAATCTTAGATCAATTTTTATTAGCTAAAATTTCAGGGTTAGCTTTGTTCAGTTCTTCACATACATGTATTTTTGGAGGTTTTTTATTTCGTATGCGATTTACAAAAAAAGAGAAAACTACCTTCTTTTAGTGTTCTGTCCATTTCATTCTTATAATTGGTTTGCGACTTGTCAGTTTTTTTTTATTTTTTGTATTTTATTCTGAGGCAGGTTCGTTGTTTAGATCATTGTTCAATTCTGTTTTTTCCACACACTCTGTGGTTCAATTTCCAAAAAATCATCTTCTATCACAGGTTCATTTTTAAGATCAAGTTAATATCTACTTTGTCTATTGATTTCGCTTTAACATTTGCTGTTAATCCCTGTTATATCAGTTCGTTTTTGGCAGTGGTCAGGTAAAGTTCTTATCAGTGCGTGAACGAG